TGATTTATAAATACAGGACAATCGGGATTTTTTCTCCTATTGATTGAAAAAATACGAAAAATTGAGAAAAGCAATAAATCATTCAATTATTTCGAAGGAAAATAATATGGAAAATAATATTGAATATCAACATGAAAACCCATTCACAGAAAACTTAGATACGAGGTTGTCGCCTTTACAAAAGCCTGGTTATAGCGAAAAAGAATATAACCTCGTTTCGCTCCTCGCAAAGAATTTTGTTATCATGTCATACTCAATGTGGGATTCAGCTGTGAAAGATCAAATTAGATCTTTTCTGACACAGCAAAAGCTCTCGGATTATTTAGCGTTTTCCATTCTAGAGGAACGAGTGGCTGAAGAATCTCCTGATTGGGCATGTTTATTGGCATTCTGTTATCATTACGGCATCGGTACTGAATTTGACTACCAAAAAGCATTTGCTTGGTATATGAACTCTGGTGACCGAGGAGACGCATTTGGTCTCACACAAATTGGATGGTGTTATAGCATGGCAATTGGTGTTTCGCGCGATGATGATGAATCCTTGAAATACTATCATATGGGCGCAATTCGAGGACATCCGCAAAGTGCTCTAAAGGTTGGCGAGTCAAAATCTGATTTTCGAAAAAGATTCTATTGGTTAGAAAAATCGGCTATTGGAGGATTTCCAGATTCAATAATTCGTGTTATTAGACATTATGAGAATGGATGGGGAGTCTCCAGAGATAAACATAAAGTTCTCTATTGGTTTAAGCAATATCGCAATATTGGAAATCATGACGTCTCTATTTTCTTGAATGCAATAAGTAAGTGGATTAGAAATTAATATCGTTATATATACACTGTATAAAGATTGTTAAGTATCTTTTATCGCATTTGTTAAAATTTTTTTAGTGCTTCGATTTCCGTTTTCTAGTATTATTAACCGTTTTTAATTCCAATAACTTTGAAATTTTTCTAATTTATCGCATTAATGAGATAGATAGATAGATGAGTTGTATTTTATTTAAATTTTTAAATCAAACGGCTAAACATTACTATATACATGTACTATATTTAGATTGTGCTGAAGTAAAAATTTAACTTACATGTATCTGGGATTTAAAAAATCTTTGATTTGGAAATACATATACCTGTAGTTTATGCTATCATACAGTCTACTCCAAATTATTTGGAAAAATAAATTTATTACTCCGCAATCACCAAACCAATTATAATAAAAATACATTATTTGAAGGATAAAAACATGTGTTTTGTTAAAAAAAATTTAATAATTAACAGTATCGCCTTTATTCTCTATTACTAGCATACATCTTCGTTTCATTGATTTTACTAAACTCTTTAATGCATCATTTGGAATTAAATTCCATTCCTCCTTCATAAATGATTCTAATTGGTCCAAATTTTTTGGTTTTTTCTACGTTTCTTTTAACTATATTCCATAGGTTTTCGATTGGGTTTAAGTCCGGGCTACAAGATGGCCAATCAATAACTTCGGGGACATTCGATTCGAGGTAAGATTTTGCAAGATGGCTCGTATGTTTTGGATCGTTATCCTGTTGAAACCTTCATTTTCTTCCCGGAAGAGTATTAATATCCACAATATTATTTTTTAAAATATCTACATAAAATTCGGCATTCATTGTTCTAAAACGAAATAACTTTACCCACTTTACAAAACCACCCCACGCAAAGATTTTTCTCCTATCTTTAGGAATTCGACAAGCCGGTCTTGGACCCTTATGCCACTGACCAATTGTGTTACGAAAGAGTTTGAAGGCAGTTTCATCTGTAAAAAAAGTTTTGTTCCAATTGTCATTCATATGTTTTTTGGCCCACTCAACCCGTTTCTCTTTATGTTGCAAGGTAAACATTGGTAAAGTTTTTGGGATATTATTTTTATAGTCGTGATCCCACAAATGTCTTAAACAGTCGGTTGAGATATTGTTCCACCTAATTCTATCATCAAACTTCTTGTTGATATAGAAGGATATTTTTGGATTTGCCACCTGATTTTTGTGATATTTCTCGCGAAATTACCTTCGGACGACCCACCCCTTTTGACTGTGTTACTTTTCCAGTTTTCCCGAGCTTTTTTAGGTTGTAATAGATAGTTGTCGTTGGTATTTTTGTTGCTGTATGTATTTTTTTTGGCAGAGCGTATGCCCCGGTTCCAATAAGATAAGATCATTTATCGTTAATCACGGAAGGTGGTAACAGCCATTTCAATTTAGAGACTCATCGCAAGAGAAGAATTAAAGGACTGAGAATCTGTGTGAAGTTCACTGGATATCTATTCTCCTATTTGTCTATTTTTTGTACATAGTACATTTTATTCTAATTTTGGTTATTTCATGTGTGACGATTGATGACAATTTTCCAAATAATTTTGAATCACACTGCTTATGTGCTGCAACAAAACAAACTTAGAAATACGTCTAGTTCAAAACATTGAGATTTTTTTGATTTCAAAATAAAGGACATATTGCATCGACATGCATGTATTAAACCTTTATGTGCGAGCTTCAAAATTTATTGGTGTCTCAATCAACCTTGGATACGAAATTTTTTATTGTTCGAAATCTTACTTTCTCGCCAAAAATCTTTGAAGAGAAAAACTTTTCTTATATCTGACAAAAATGCTTAATATATTAACAAATCTAGACTAAATAATTTAAAATTACCATTCTCATACGTATTGGATTAAACATACTACATGCATTAAGCGCAAAATATTTACGCAAAATAATAAAAATTTAGATTTAATATTTCTTAGTAATTTCTTTTCATAGATGCTGTGCGTACATACGTGTTTGAATTACGCATAAGTAATGAATTCAGAGAAAATGACAATAGAATCGTTTAGCTATGTGTCTTGTAAAAATTAGATTATTAATAAAACATAGGTTTGCAATAAAAAATACTGTAAATTTAAATAAAAAACCAACAATATTAGAGGTAAAAATAGATTTATCAGATCTATTGATAAGTTTTGAGATGTTTAAAGTTGAAATTCTGTTGTAAATTATTTTATTTAATGAACTGTTATTTATATAAGAACTTTAAGAGCTGACTTATCAATTTGCCTGAAAATTTTTTTGGATAATAGATGGAGTCTTCTTATATTCTTAATTCAATTTTGATAAGAATTAGATATGTATAAAATGAGAAATTGATCAAAACATAAACTGTATTTTGAAATTTAATTAACAGACACTGTTCACGAACTTTAACAGATCGGTTCTTAGAAATGGTCTTAATAATCTGATTTTAAATTTTTATAATCGTTAAACAATATCTTCAAAAATTTGTATTTCAATTTTGGTATATATTGATTATAGCTGAATAAAGATATTAACTCAAACATAAAATAAAATATCAAATTTTATTGGATAGCATTTTTAACTTTCTGTATATATTTTTAATATACAGTTAGCATGGAAAGTAATGGCGAACATGTTTTTCGCCTATAACTCAATAAGAAATTGCTAAAAATTTATGAAAATTTGGCATTATATTCTTTAGATGATGGAAACAAAATTTTCTAAAGTCACAAAGCATGTTAATATAGTAATATTTTGTGGAATCACGTGTTAAAGTGGTGGGCTGGGAGGCTATCCTGGTTAAAGTGCTATAAAAAATTATTTAAAAATATTTTTTATAGCAAGTATGAAGATAATTTTATAAAAATATTTTTAAAGATATAAAAAATATATTGTAATTTAAAAAAAATTTTAGTTGATATTTATTGAATAAATTCCAGTCAAAAAAGACTTAATTTTGATAAATTTCATAATAAAATATAGTAAGCTATAGTAAAATATAATAAAAATATTATTTTTATTATATTTTATTATGAAATTTATCAAAATTAAACCTTTTTTTGACTGGCATTTATTCAATAAATATTAACTAAAAAATTTTTTTAAATTATAAATATATTTTCTATATCTTTAAATATATTTTTATAAAATTATTTTCATACTTGCTTATAAAAAATATTTTTAAATA